CAGCGAGAAACTTTCAAGTGGATTTACTGCTCACAGTTTAGTTTTTTGTTTTTTGTCAATAGATGTAGATGTGCTGGATTAGGTGTTTGTCGCAGTAAACTAAATGACATGAAAAACTATCTGGGCAATATTTCATATGGTTTGACAGTAAAGTTGTATCATGGTTCTATCTGAGCAATATATCAAGTTGCTTGACAGTAAACTTGTATCATGGTTCTCCTGCCCTTTTCATATGATTGGGCTGGTGGGACCTCGTATTTTGTGCGAAATCTAAGACGCATGAGAAAGAGTCCAGAACTTTCGTTTTACAGCACTTCTTCAGTTTGCGGCTGAGTCAGAAGCTCAAGGTGAGTTTCCTGCTTGGCTTGGCAAGTTTGCGGGTATAGGTATCGTTTTGAGTGAAGCGTGTAGTACTTGCACACTTCTCACCTAGTCTTTGATACACTTATCTGCATTTCTTATGCTAAGACCAACAGTGATCATGGCCTGTCGAACTTGACCCGCAAGAAGAAAGTTTCTGGGGCACCCGGTGCTAAGACCAACAGTGATCATGGCCTGCCGAACTCGACCAGCAAGAAGAAAGGTTCTGGGGCACCCGACAGATGTGATGCATTTGCACTTAGGTTCATGAAACTCCACACTTTCTCTTTTTCTTTCGCTTTAGCCTAAAACAGTGCGCTAGTGTAGGTGAGCATTTGCATTTGAACGGAATCTTTGTATGCACCTTCTTAAAGTCGTTGACGCTGCTCAGGCCGCTTGATGGCTATTTCCATCTGTAGATAAAAGCCCTAGAACCGTTGGCTTTCTGGTGCCTTTTTAGTTTCAGTGTGGCTCATTCTGCGAAAAGCAGGACCTTAATTTTTTTGGCAAAAAGCGTAAACAATGCCAAACAAGAAGCTCTGGTCATTCTCTAGAGTGTGAGCATCATCCTGGTGTTTGGTTGCATCTGTGCAGCTTTATTCATAATCAATTTTTCACGTCTAACCAAGTAATTATTTTCAAATGGTCTGTTTCAAAGAAACTTTCAAGCAACTTCATTCTAAATTATCATCCACGAAGCATACGTCCGTTGTTTTGCTTTAGAAGCTCATTATTTCTTTTAGCAGCAGCATATGGCAACCGCAGAATGGCTCAATAGAAGTCTGTAAAAATTAGTCCACGTGTTCCCCTCGTTTATACGAACACGGAATTATCCTAGTCCAGGAGTGCAAAAGTATGTTGCCGGCGTGACTCAGTCGAAAGGAACGTCTGAGTTTATGTGTTTGCCAATGTAACGTAACTCAGTGAAGAACGCCCCCTTGCAAAACATATGTCGCGAGCATTTAACAAAAATGGTAGGAAGTCCATGACATGCAACATTCTCGTGTGAATTTATGTTCAGAAGCAGAAGAAATTCAATGGATATACAAATTTCTCATTGATGGCAGATGCTCAACAAAGTGCTGCTCTCAGTGGGCGTCCCAGCATATGTTTTAGCTCCACTGCCCAACTTATGAGGCATTCTCTCGGCCAACACATAATTACGAGTATACCTCACCCACATGTGGCATACGTTCCTAGGTAGGCATATGCTGCTAATGTCAAGGCAAAAGCAGGTCTTCGAAGTAGACGAGCTTCCGAAAACCACAACGCCATAAAAATAAAGTACAGTACTTTATTAGTTAGTCACTCATTTTCCCACATGCGGTGACGATGGCCGCCCGTTAGTGGCTTCGTGCGCTCAAACGGCTCAGACCCTACTGAGGACCCGGAAGTAGTACTCCACACGTGCTTTGTTCATCATGTTCAGTATAGACATTAATCTCAAGGAATATTATTGACACAGATGAGCAGCAGCAGGCTAGTCAATCAAACATGTGTGGCACACACTTCGCACAAGCCAGATCGCAGTAGTAATAGGCCAGCGTAACAAGCGAGCAATATGCGCACAGGACATAGCATCATCGGGATGCGCAGGGTAGAGAATACGCATCAGACAGAATAGGCGAAAACACCTGCCCCCATAAAACCAGACCACCAGGACATGAGCTTATCATCATGAAAGGGCCCTCCAAAGAGCCAGGTGGCAGAAACTGTTTTCTAGCAATGTCGTACCAATAGTATCGTTTCTTTGAACCGGGAGATGGTGCACGTACCAAGCCACTTCATGCAGGTGAATGTGTGTCCGTTACGGCAAGCGCCAGCAGTCATGTAGCCAATCGATCATGAGAAGGGAGACAATATGGGAGCTACCGTTAGGCTTAGTACACATAGAGTCACGAAGTTAGGCCTCAACCACCGTTTTTCGGAAGATGCGCTGGTGGGTTTGTGCCCAGTAAGGGTACAGGTGCGGACTTCGCCAATTCGGCACGGCCAAAGCAATTTAAGGTTTTGTACATTTGCGGTGCACTTTGTCCGGGAATTGTCCGCGAATTAGCTGCTAACCAGCGGCAACTGAGCCCACAAAGTGTACTTGCTGACTGCGCAAAGATATTTCGCATAAGGAATGAAGACGCCGGCAGCTGAGCTAGCGGGCTGCTCCTTGTCTGCCCCGCCACTTTTGGTCTTCATGACGCTCGGTTTGGAAGACTGAACAGAAGCTGCAGCAGAATCAGCAGCCTTGCAAGGAAGGCGGGTTGCTAAACCAGAGGTATGGAGGAACGGAAAATGCATTGGCGCTCAGCCTAGACTCCCATTCGCAGGATTCAAAGTTCTTTTATGAGCACAAGTGACAGAAGACGCCCCTCCATGAGCAGTCAAGTGGGCGCGGCGTGCTGAATCCAAGGGGGAAGGGACACTTGGCAAAAGAATGTCATCCAAAGCAAGAGAGGATCTGCTAGCTTGTAAGAATATGAAATCGACTTTGGGAGCTGACCACCACGTTGCAGATCATGCTACTTCGCCTACGCAGAGAAAAAAGAGTCTTAAGGGAGCAAAAGATATTCTCAGCATTGTGCAAGCAGTCAACTCAAGGAATTATTCGCCGGCGGCAATGTCGTATGCGCAAGGCCTTCCGATTCACTGTGACCAATGAAGGGCAGCCACATATCAACGGTGTGGTGGTAGAGCTAACTACGGGGTCCAAAAGCGTTTGGTCCTGTCCTAGGGTTATACTGGCTGACTGACCACAAGGTTGCTAGCTACATTCAGTCCGGTACTCTACGAAACTGCGCATGTGGCCAGTACTTCGGTCTACCAAAAAAAAAAAGTTAAACAAGCAGAAACGCAACCCAAGCGGGCTCTGGTGCGGGCCCCTGCAGAGCACGCCCACGAGACTTCGGCGCAACCAGTGTCTACAAAAAAGTCAGCAAAGACAGCTATACTCCTTTGTTTAATGATGCAAGGGTGTAAGGGAAACCCCGCGGCGAAGGACAGGAAGTACATCAAGGGGCCACTGTGTCCGGTGTAGTGCAACACGGTTTATCTGACGCTGGCACTAGAAAGTCCCTACTCATTACTGGCTTTACTGGGTGTAAAGATGCAGAAAACAATTGATTTGTCCAAGGAGAAAGAAAAACTCCTGATGTGTGAGCCAGACGAACACCGTGGCCTAACCTCTATTGTACAGCCCCGCAATCTATTAGAGCCACCCCAGGAGGCGATATGAAGGAAGAAAAGCCGCCACAAAACAGGTACTTTTGCAACCACTGTGTCATCTCATTGTGACACAAGTATACGAGGAACGGGAAAGGATGCGCCGCCATTCTTATTGCTGCCTAGACACCGCAGCGCCAGCATCTGTCAACGTCCTTATCTAAGCGTTTAAAGTTCTTGACTGTGGACCGTGGCAAGTTCACCTAAGATACTCTTTTAAATGAGTGTTTTTCATTATAGCTGCCCACACCTATGCCTACATGACTCCAGCCCCGCAAGATGTCTCCCAGCAGAAAGATGGAAAGTCTCAGAAAGGGTGCGATAAAAAAAGCGCATAGTGGTGCTCTGTAGATGCGGGAACTAAATTTCTTTTTGGTATTGGGATGTTTGTACAGTTTGTCAAAGCAGTGGAACACAATGCTCTAATCTTCTGAAGCACATTACCCTAGTAGTCAGCACGCTGGACCAGCGCCACCACCCAGAGCTAATGAGGCTTTCGGTGCAGAGTTTCTCTTGAGCCAGTACAATGGCAACAGCTTCCCTTCAACAGTTAAGCTATAATGACTGATAATGACTGATTTAAACTCTGAGCTACAGCCAAGTTGGAACGCGCTTATGCATTACCTGCTGTCAACCGTCAGCTGTCTGCGAGCCAGCGGTAGAGAGATTCCCGCAATACCAAATGCACAAGAAGAATGAGCAGCCACTTTATAGCTCCGTCTCATACTTAGAGCAAGAAAGAATTAGTCCTCCTTCTGTTGCTGTGAAACTCAACTTCGAGCGCACAAGACCTGACTGACCCTAGGCATGCGGCGAGCACTGCTCCGGAGTCGCCTGCAGCCACAGCATGCACCCAGTGGGAATTTACCAAAGGCGTCTTAGAAAACGAAACCCTTTTATTTATTTACACACATCAGTCCCGATTTTTAAGAGCTGGATTCCTTAAGGTATTATTGCTGGAATGCTCATCGTTACTTCCTTCTGAGCACTGATGGCCGTTATTGTTCTGTGGGACCTCCATTCTGGAAGATAACAGCTTCTACGCACAAACGTATCCTTGCTGATCTGGGGTTCACTCTCCATAAAGCAGCACGCCGCATTTTGCTGTATGCCTACAGAGCCCACTGGCCGGCGAATTTACACCGCCTGGACGTGAAATAATATGTGGCAGTCCATGGGAAACCTGCAATAGGACAAGTTTGACACACAGTTGCTGCCCCAGTACACATACAGTGGGGTCGCTTGTAATTGGTTTTCTCACTGAGGATTCCAAGAGCGCCGCGTCCTTATCCACCTACTCTGTTAAGCAGGTGTGCAGCCGATTGTGCACCCACCTGGAGGAATGTTTTTGGACAGTAGGGATGGGTGTTTAATGACAGCATTTTCCAGTTCTGCGTGCACATGCGAGTGCGTGTATTTGAAATACTATGAGCTTTTACTGCACAGAGCTTGCCTCAGGAATGTCGACCTCTCCGTCTCCCTCACAAGTCTCAGCTGGGAGCAACAATTCCACCGACTGTTTTCAAGATATTTTGTCCCAGCAGCTAAGCGTAGATGCGTCCATGCGAGATGAATCACTGGTCCCAAGGGAGGCTTTGGCCTACACGCCTCAGCCGTCAGAGATACTGAAGGTAAGCGTTCTACGAGCCAGCGCAATCACAAATGCTTTAGTCTACTGGCCACTAGTTTTTCCTGGCATTTGCAAGTGAGGCCAAATTTTTTTGTTGGTCGAGTGCTCGAAAAAGAAGGGGCGTTCGGGTCGCCGGCACAGCAGGAGCAGATGACGGCCCTAAAACAGCGATTATTCTGCGTTTTCGGCTCCCTCGGAGCCTGTGTTAGGCGCGCGTCCCATTCGTTTGATTTTCGGTGATCTTGAGTTAACACCTCACGAACTCGAGGGCCTCTTCGAGGTGCGGCAGGCAATGGCGAACGACAAGGAGCTGCGGGAATCCCCCGTTTTTGCAGATGACAGATACGCAGTTCGCTTCCTTCAGGGGTAAGAGCTGTCATTAAATTTTAAGTTGTTCTGTCGGCTTCTCTTTGCTTTCAGGTTGAAACAGCAGCTTTGGGGCAAAAGGGGTGCTGTCTCCTCATGCATTTACCGTTGTGGAATGTGAATGAATGCGTTTTTTCAAACAGAAACGACTGGGATGTGGCCCGTTGTATTCACGATATGAAGAGACATTTGCACTGGCGCGCACAGAACCTTCCCGCACGACGCACCGACGTAGAACATTTATTTGTGAGCAGCCGCTTTCCCCTAAATTTGTTCTAAAACATTGTTGGGACCTATAGGAAAATCAAGGTGATCCGTATTGTTTCGCAACAATTCTACATCTTCTTGCTTTTTTGAGCATGATCATCTTTTTCGATGACGGTTTCTATTTGCATGCTGGAAGACCTCGGTTAGCGAAGTGGAAATTTTACCTCGTTGAAAGGATGCACAAGGTATATGTGGCACTGAAATTGCCAATTCAGAGCTTTTTCATGTTGCTAAGGGGTTACAGCTTGTTCCACTTCAAATCTTCCATAGATAGGTCGTCTGCCTGGTGCCGGTGTATTCCTTCGTAGTCTCACGGCTTCATTTACATTCACGGAAGAGACCATGCATTTCGGCCAATCCTCATCATTCGCTGCAGAAGTCTAGCAGATTCTCAAATGGTGGGCTTTCTACACAAAATCTCTTCCACTCTCCCTCGTGGATCTGTTCGCACATCAGCTCCCGTTTTTGTCAACATCTCAACCATGATAGCGTAGTTTGCAGTTCACTGATGGGAACGTACTTTGTCGAAGCCACGCATTGCGAAATTTTCGGGGTGGATAAGACGACCGGCCTGAAGTGTTTGATGTGCCTGCTTTTCTGTATAGGGAGACGTGATGTCGGTGGTGATATACTGGCTAGGTCAGCCAAGCAGTCGCTTGCAGTTTATTTTTTTGAGTTGATTCGTTATTGTGTTTTTTGATGATGAGCAACCGGTAGTGGAATCAACGTACCAGAACTGACGCTTCTGTCAGTGCCTGCCGTTACATCAGAGGCTTTAAGTGGCGAAAGTTTTAGAAGTATATGAAGAAGCAAAAATATTGAAATGATAAGTATGCGCCGCGTGTTTCACGTTTTTCGAATGCGTGCTTGCGCCACCGCAGAATTTACCTTGGAGAAGCTGCTGGTGAAGAATAAAGTGGAGCAGTGGCGAGTGGTCGTGGATTTAGAGGATTGCAGCATTACGAGTGCGCCGATAGGCATTTTGAAGCAAGTTTGCGACACGCTAACTGTGAGTTATACCTCTTTTCGCATTAGCGAAGGATTTAGCCTTGCATTTTTCCGGGCAAAGTTTTTCGTGGCGTCAACGTGTGAACGCACACAGTTTTAATCCGTACAGAACGCGGCCACAGCCACTGTGGTCAGCTTCTTATACCGCTAAGCTACCATGGAGACGGCGGAAAATCACTGATTCTGTCCATAAATCCTCATCCACGAAAGCCTCTGTTCATGCGTATGCAAAACTTGTAGCGTTAATCGGGTGTGCGGCTTATTTAACATAGCGCGTTGTACGTTGGCGACGCGAAGAGGGCTGATGTTAATGCGACTTCTGTGGCACAGAGGAACTACCGTGGAAGGCTTTACGGAATGTTGATTTTGAACGCCGGTTTCTTATTTCGAAGCATATGGCAGCTGGTGTCTGTTGTACTTCCGGAGAGGACAAAGTCGAAGATAAAGCTCACATCATCGTGCAGTGACGTGAGAACTTTTTGGGGTTTCCAGATTTTGCTCCGTGTGTCAGCCCATGCTGTGCATATTAGTAGGCATCTACTGCGGGTTGGGGCACACTTTGGCAGCACTTTTGCGTAATGTTCCTCCATACACCTCCCACAGTAATTTCGACCGAAATGACTGTCCTGGAGGGAAAGGTGTTCCGATTGTCGTTGCAGGAAGAATTCTTAGCGTCGATCAATCGCAATCAGATTGAAGGTGAACTCAGTATCAAGCTGATGCGTATAGTTGTGTACCCACACTCAAAGCTTTCGCTTTTCGAGCAGCTATGGCCTGGTGCTGTTGCAACCAAGAACTGTCTGCCAGGTGCAAGCATGATGTTTATATTGTATATATTTGCGCCATTGCTACTTGCGCAGAGAGGTATGGAGGGACATGCTCTAATGTTGAAGATTTCTCCTGGCCTGTGATGCCGCCAGGCCCGTACGACATCGCCTCATAAAGAAATACCATGCTTGGACTCACTTTTGATTTTTGAGTATCGGTTTACCTAGGCAGGTAAATGTGCGCAAGGAGGCGAATTTGCTTGTGGCAGCCGCAGTAAGTTTATGTGTACCTGACGGCCAACAGCCTACGGCACCATTGGCGCTCTATCGCCAGCATCCGGTGAACAAGCAGCCGGCAACGCTGCTTGCAACCGAACCAGGCGCTTCGCCACTCCAAAAAAGTGAAAGCAAAATTCTGCTGTCAGGAATCAGCTAACGACGATGAAACTCCGCACAAGCAGCAGGCGCGAGATAATTGAAGCGCAGCATCCCTCGCTGGTGCTCCAACATTTGTGTCATACGCACGTGCAGTTGTCTGTCCACTTCCGTTGCAACAGCCGGGCGACGTATGTGCCTCTGTGTAATACTGCAACGCTAATTCGAAGAGCCACGGCAGTATCTTCATTCATCCAAAGTCACCTTTAGAATCTCCCAGGAGGTTGCAGTAGCATTAGCGGATGCAAGTTGCAGTTGTACTAGATACTGCAGGAGGCACAAACAGGGTAAGCTGCTGCTACAATCTACAGCGTCATCCCGTTAACACACAGCATGCCCCGTAAAGACTCTACAGACTAGGCGGCCACTGATCACATGCTTGGCCACAAAAGTCAAAAATGGAATGTTCTTTCCCGTGTTATTATTTCCTGTAGTTTGCAACGGACTTGGTTCGGGCCCAAAACAGGGTATATACAGCTTAGTACCATCCCTCCGACCGGCGCTTACGAGGGGCCAGTGGAGACTGCAGCAAGGAGTCATGAAGCCTGCAACCAATATTGCATGCCTTAAGATTCCGCGGTTCCTGCTCTTTTGGAAGTGTGGTTCTGTCAGAAGACACAAGTGACTCTTTGGCGTGCCCTTCCAGAAGGGCTTGCTGTTTTGCTTGCACTGGCACCTCCATCGGCTGCTGTGGAACAGGCCGCTGCTGCTGTTGTAGGCATATGTCGACTGCTTCGTAGAGAGCCTTTTCCTTTATGACGGCAAGCTCGCCAAGGAGAATGTAATACTCCCTCCACCAAATGCAGCTACCCCTGTCTTCCCTCAAAAGAACCTCCTGCTGCTCCAGCTGCAGTAGCGGTGCACAGTTGCAGCAGCGAAAGTGCACCGGGAGACCCCTCTGCGGCGCAGTCTCAGCAGCAGGGTTTGCTGGTAACACTCCAGCTGCGACAGCGCGATGACCCGGAAAGTCCCTCTGTAGCAGCTTCTGAAGCAAATGTTGCCGTTGAGCTGCGTGCATGTCCGTCAGATGGTTTTTGACGAGCTCCAGCTGTTGCAAGGCAGTCCTGACTAGTGCAGCATGCCGTCTCGTCTTCCATCCGATGCCGCTGACGCTGTTACTCGTGCACGTGGAGTCGCTAGAGGAAGTGCTGCAATTGGCTGAGTCGCCAGTCAAAGACCCGCCCGCATGACTGGATGTCACTCTGCGCTTAAATCCCGTCCTGTGATCTACTATTGCGAGGGGATTCGAGGGCAGGATATCCTTACAGTAGCCATCCAAAGGCTGCCCTAGGAGCAGCTTGTGGTGCTGCTGCAGAAGTTCTAAAACCCCTCTACATGCGCCCGGAGTCGGGTGCGCCGCAGCAACTGCGCATGCGAGCAGCAGCTGCTCCTCGTGATGTTGTAGCCTCAACTCTACTGCACCTGCTGCTAATGCAGCCTCTTTTCCTGCGTTTGGGGTCTCTGCGGCCCACTCAGGAGATCTCAGTTCTACTGTACCAGCAGCGCTCTTGAGATTCGTGTCGATTGTTCTCGGGTATTCAACTACTGTATGCACAGTTGTCTTCGCTGTGGGATTAATATTCCGCCCAGCAACAATATTTGCCGCAAGAAGCCGGAGGTCATCTTGCTGTCCTGAGGACCTCGGCAGTGCTGCAACAGCGCTCCCTTTACAAGATGTGAGCGGCACTGCGTCCGATTTGCAACGAGCTTGAATGCCATCCTCACCACCACATTTTACTGCTGTTATAGCTGCTGGTTCTGTTTTTCGTAGTGACCGCCTCCATTGTTGCTGCTTTCGCTGCTGTGCCTCAAGAAGCTTCTTGAACTCGCGATTGAAGGCAGCCACGAAGTACGTGGTCTCAGCATCAGGCTCCTCATGCAAATTGATGGGCTCTTCGTGGGACTCCTGCATTTGCGACAGCTGGTGCTGCAACAATTGCAGAGAATAAAACGCATCTGCCAAGGGGCACTCGACTGTCCCTCTTTTGAATGCAGTTTGAAGGCCTGCCGTTGTGGCAGCTGGCTCTGCAACCTCGGCTTCTCCAATCTTCCAGTCTTGGATGCGTTGTTGCTCCAGCTGCTGCTGCTCTTGTTTATCAATTACCTGCGCATGAGTTCAACAGGAGCAAGACAAACAACAGCAGCAGCGTTTGACGAGACAGATTCTTGCAGAGCCCGTGCAGCAATCAAAGAATCGCACGCTGCAGCAGGCTACAGGAAAGTCCGGAACCGCGTCCTGAAACGACGAAGAGTGCACGCTGCAGCAACAAAAGAGGAACAGTGGGCTGAAGCAGGAGGAAATACGACGCACGGGCATGCCATGGTAAAAATGAGCTCACAGTTATAAGAGGCATGCGCTGCTGCATAAACACTTCTTGTTGCAGAAGTTGCTGTTGCACCGCGAGGGGAAAACTGCAGCGAAGCAGCTGTAAGAGCAGCGAATCACTGTAGCAGCAGGTGGCGCACATTGGTGACAGACACGGAAGGATGACCTGAACACTGCCGCTGTCGTTGCAAAGTTCCTGCCTTCCTCCCTTCGCGCTGTCGTTAGGCTTCATGGCACTAGCGGCAACAGGCGCTTCTATTGTTTCTGAGCTTGTCGAAGCAGCTGTCACATTTACTGCTGTTGTTGCTTGTCGCCTAATTAGCCGAGAATGCCTTTTTCTCTGCAGCTGCTTTTGCCACTGGCTGCAGAATCGCACCTCCACTGCACAACTTCGAGATGTGGATAGTAGCAGATCCGCTAATGCGGCCGCCGCTCCAACGATACAAACAGAACAGTCGCTGCTGCTGTTGCCGCTTTTCTGTCGAAAGCAACTGCTTTTCCGATTGCAAGGGCACTGATACTGCAGACTGCTGTGCGCGTTTGTTGCATGCATTCTTTGTGCTGCTGGGTGAATTTGCAGCTTTGGCTCTTCCAATCGGATGTCGCGGATATGTGTTAACAAGGACTCTACCCGAGCTGCTGCAATAGCTTCTTGTTGTTGCTGCTCCATCAAAGAGCCCCGTTCCAGTAGCTGGTCTATCTGAAAAGCCGAAAGGACACGTCGCAAGAGCAGCAGCTGCTGCTGTGGGTGCGCTGCACTCACGAGTTCTACGCGGGCAGTGAAAGCCGTGGTCTGCTCCATTCCGCTGTCTTCCTGAGGACAGCAGCACGTAGTGCAGCAGCAAGGAAACTTTTCTTTTTGTTTTGTCGCTGCTGCCGCCGCTGCTGCGTCATCCTGTGGGGGCACTGGATTCGGCAACATGCAGGCTGCTGCAACGAAGATCTGCGTCACTTGCTGCAGCCGTCCGGCAGCAGCAACCCTGCAACAGTGAAACACAACAATAACTTCAGCATCACACGCAATCATTCACAGCATCAATATCCACATAAAACTAAAAGCGTGCTAGCTTAAGACAACGTGGCTGCAACAGCAGTTCAATGAGAAAAAACCTCACGAGTGCAGAATTCTGTCGGTTCGGCTGCTTGCGATGCCCTTAAGCAGCAACAGTTGTTGCTGCTGCCTCTCTTGCACGTCTCTTGCGTGCTTTTGTGCAGCATCCAGCAACGAAGTGCTGCTTTCGAGGTGTCGGCTCTCAAGCTGGGAGTGCTGCTGCAGCTGTATCCCAGTCTCTTTTTGTTCCAGCCCGCGTCTCTTCTGCTCTTGTTCGTTCCTCCGTATCATGCACTCCACCTTGTGCAGCTGTTCCTGCTTCTCCTGGAGCCGCTGCTTTATCTGCTGCACTTCCTTGTCGAATTCTGCACTGCATTTTTTTGCCCGGGAATATTGCTTTGTAGCAACAGTAACTGCTGCCGCCTCGAGCAAATCTTTCTGCCTTTGTTCCTCCGCCCAGTATTGTAGCGAGAGTCGCTGTACCAGTTCCTGGTGCTGCCGAAAATGCTGCTCTTCCACTAGTCTTGCAGCTTCCTCCACAAGCTTCGAATGCGAAGCCATAGGTTGTTCCTTCTGTTGCTGCTGCAGAAGCGCAACAAGCTGCAGCTTCTGTTGCAACAGGAGACCCTGCTGCTTCTTCTGCAGCATTCGCTGTATTGTCTCCAAAGTCTTCTGCCTGAGTGCCTCTAACGCACGCAGCACCTCTTTCCGCCGATGTTGCGTGTCACTGAGCTGCCGCGCTGGTTGCTTTTGTTTCATGTGCAGGCTCCGTAGATGCTTCCGCAGACAGATCAACTGGTGTCCCAAGTGCTTTCGTTGCTGTTTCAGTCGCCTGCTTTCTTTTTCGCTGTCTTCTGCTTCTACAACAGCGGAATCGCATGCAGGAGACGCGGAATACGGCCGGGAGTTCGCTGCGAGGGGATGCTGCCTTAAACACTGCAAATGTTTCCGCTCCTCCCGTCGCTCCAGTCCTTCCTTCTGTGGAATTTTCTGGTAGATAAAGCCTACATGGCTCTCTGCGCTTGTGTTCATGCGCATGCAAAGCTGAGCAATACAGACGCAGGGAGAAAGCAGGGAATGTAGAATTACAGTCTCTTGCAGTCACCATCTTGCTGACTACTAGTATGCGCATGTTTTTAAAGCAGATGTTTCGGTGTTTACTCTATCTGCAAGGACTGCATGCAAGCCGAAATTGGAGACCAAATCGCCATGGAAGGAAACGAACACAAAGGTGGTTTTACTCCTGCAGGACAAAGAAGAAATCACACTGAGCCCTTAAACTTTAAACCGCTACAATCAGCCCCCTCTTAGCGTGCAGTCAAAAAAAACCTCCCAATTTTGTGTACGTAGCTCCTACCTGAATCGACGTGTACTATAACGTGGGGCCTCACACTGTATGCCCTGATCGTTAAGCTGCGAAGCTTTGCAATCCGTGGCTTACTGGTTGAACAGCTTGACTGTGTGCGCCATAACCCACGGCGGCATCGCCAAGTCAAATGAAAAAACATGGGAAATTCCTTCGAGGGAAGAAAGTCGACAGCAATCAAAAACACAGAAAGTGCCGTTAAAGCCAAGCGTCGTTTCTAAAAGACGCCGTTCAGCCTGACCAACTCCTGCAGTTGCATCACCCGTGCTCTCTGATGATGATGCTCTAACAGAGCCAGAATGGGCTGCTTCTGCAGAGGCAGTATCGCGGAACAGAGAGGCCGCCACTTGAATTGTGGCCGCCGTATTCTTCTGTGGATTCCACTCAACTGCGGCACTCTTCGTAGATATTCTTTCTTCTGCTGCTGTAGCACTGATGCGGGAAAGCGAAAGCGCCGCCTGCAACGCACCACTGATGTAGTTTTCGGTACGCTGTCCACTTAGCTGAACCCCTAGATATAACTGCTGCAACAGCAGCAAATCCACGAGCGCTGCAGCACAGAAACGTGACCCAAAAGCCTCAAGTCATAAAACTTAAGCCCTTGGCTAAAAACGTCCTGCCTCGCACTGGTGAGTTTCACATACACAAATGATTGATGACGGAGATGGAGTAGACGTTCGAGTCCAGCTCTAAGCCAAGTGTGTAAGTACACCCGAAAGCTGCTGCTGCCAGAGAAGGAACTCCGCTCCCACTAAGCACAACAGCAAAGAACAGTCAAAGCAAAAAAGCAATCAAGCTTGACACAAGCTGGCGTATGTAGAAGAAGTTTTTCGCCCCAGCAGCGAGTTGCAGCACCGTACGTCCATAGCTCATCCACCCCTCGCCCCCGAAAAGTTAAGATTCGGAGCGACAGAAGTTATACACAATATTTGTGTTGCGCCACCAGCATCGCGACCCACTGATGCAACTATACCAGTACTGTGAGACGGAATTTAAGACAGCAATGTTACTAGAGCATTGGGCCATAGGTCATAAGGTGCAGAGCATACCTGCCAATGTCCAGAAAGGTGGAATGCTCATTAAGTCCAAATCGTTGGTTCAAGAGAGAAAACAGTTTGAATAGCGAGGAAACAGAACTCTCCCCATACGCACCTATTCGAAAGCAGAGACGCACCAGCATCGGCAGATGCAGCAGTAGCAGTTGTAATAAAGGCAAGAAGAGCAGTAACGGAAAGCCAACAGCTTCAAACAAGCGGCAAGACTGGAGGGCGAAATGACAGTGAAACCGCGGGACCAGCAGGACACCGTATACAGCTTACCTTCAACGCTCGTGGTAATTTTCATAATGGGCTTTTTCTGTAGCAGCTTCACCTCTGCAAGGAAACCATCACGCAACGCCGCAGGCATCCGTGGTATCGATGATCCCCAGTGCGCTACTTCTCCCGCTGTCGCTTCTGCTGAGAGCCCAGCTTCTGAGGCACTAGCAGCATCTGCTGACAAGTTAAATGCACACGGCTTCGCCTCATTTGCGTCTGCTTCTGAGGCGAAAGAAGCGGATGCTGCACCCGGAGCAGCTGCCACTTCCGCTGTGGCCGCTTGGGAAACTGTCACCACCGCCTGTAGTCTCCCTGCTACTGCTTCTGCCGCTGCTGAGGATGAGGGCGAAAAGCATGTAGAGACATCAAGTGACATGTCAGATGTCTTCCCGGAGATTGTCTTCGCTGCAGCCGCAGCTGCTGCTACTGCTGCTACAGTTGCTACTGCGGCTACTGCCGCTGCTGCACGTCCGTGTGTCGCCGCAGCATCTGCATCATGAAATAATGACGACGACTTTGAGACAACGCGACCAAAAGAGGCATGCTCTGAAGGGCTGAATGCCATATTTTTCCCGCATTCCACTTTTGGCGTGCGTCCAGCTCTCGCTGTTGCCGCTGCTGCTGCTGCTGCTGCCGTTGCTGCTGCTGTTGTGTTCCCTTTTGCCTCACGTGCTGCAGCTTTTGGCCATTCAGCTGCTCTCAAAAGCGCATCTATTGCGCTGTGGTGCCGTTGCTTTTGCAGGTTCTGCCGTGCCGGCTGCTCAGCGCCCGCTGTATTACGGCCTGCTGCATCACACGGGAGAGGCATTGCCGCTACCTTGGGCTGGCTTCAGTTGCTAGTGTTGTCTCTGAAGGCCTGGAGATAGTCGGCTGCTGGTGCTGCGCGCTTTGCCCATGCTGCAGCATTTATTTAGCATTCACCACACCACTCACTGTGGAGCTGTGGCGACAGACGCTCGTGCGTCTGCGCAAATGCACACGTCCCTCAAGCCAATCCGCATGACAGAAAAAAAACTGAGAGGTGATCATAACAATAGTAAAAAGGGGGAGCGATTACCGCTGCGGCTACTGGAGCATTATCGCCGTAGCTGTTCGAACACCTCAAATCCGCACTCGGTGAACGAAACAGTGCAGTACTGCTTGATGACACAAGGGACTCTAAAAAACTCAAAAATAGAAAAATAACTCAATTCTAGGACACAGCTTGATGCAACTGGCACGCGTATACTGCAGGGAGACAACCATGGAGGCAAGTTTGGGGCCCCTTTCTGACCAGAAAGTCGGGTACTGTGCTGCAAATGGGGGGCCCCTGACCACTCCTGTCACTGCTGTTACTACAATTGGTGGTATCCAGTCAACAAATTACTGCAGTAGATAGTTTGCAAGTCATTACACTGTATATGCACTCCTGTGGTGTTTGTTCAACCGCGTTGCACCATTGTTGGGAGTGGAGGTGGTCTGTCCCTTCTTAAGGCCTTCAGTATAGTACAGTTTTTTTTTCTGTGTAATCTGTCTTCGCGGCTCATTCGCTGCTATATTGTTCGACAGAGACTGGCTACGTAGCCAGCTTCCTAGGGTAACAAGAGTTGTGGGGTAAGTTGCGTTGCTTTTCCAGCTTGCCTGGCCATCGAGTTCGAAATCGCGGGATGCCGTTGCTGACGAGTGCGCGAAAAGCTTGGTTGTGGTATCTGCTCCCCTTGAAACGCGCCTCAAATGGGTCGAGTTGGTGTCAAGGTGACCCCACCTGCTTGAGAGGAAAAGCGACGGGCAAACAGTTTGGATCTGCACCTTTCCAGGGCAGCTGCGCAACTAGCATTAGCATATGAAACGAAAGCAGCTGTAAACAAGGCAAGAGGAGTAGAACCAGAAAACCAACAGTTCCACAGAAGCGGTGAACTTCGAAACTGCAGATCCAGAGAGACACCATGAGAGAAGGCAAAAATCTGCAGCTTAGCTTGAACGCTGGTGGAAATTTTCATAAAGGTCTTTTTGCGGGCAGCATGACTTCAGCCAGGAAACTACTACGCAGTGCTGCATGCATCTGTGGTATAGATAACCTCCAGTGCGCAGCTTCCCTTGTCGCAATATGATAGACTGAGACTAGATGTGCTTGGATATCCTCCATTTGTGGCAAATGGTGCTTCGTGAGTTATATTCTACTAGGACTGGAGAAATATACGTTAGATAATGGGACGATGGCGAGCGCATGCCCTCACGAAGAAGAGAGCACCTTTGCAGGACAGAATGTATCGTCCAACGCTAATTACACTCGTACAGTTGACTTTGCAAAATACATATGGGGAATAGCCAACGGAGGAAGACAGTCTTTTAAAGGCTTGCCTAATAACCGAAAGTCGCCTTTTTCAGGCTGCAGAGTCTAATGAGGTGGCAAGATCTCAATTTTAATGGAAATTCAAACGCCTCACGGCGTTCTCGGGGAGGGCTGAAAGCTGTTTCTGCTGAGTGACGTAGGTGGATGCTTAAAGGGCTTTTGTGTGTGCATCAAGCTTCAAACAGGAATCTGCAGGTTACCCTTCAAAACAGCGAAAAGAAGAACGCATGAAACGTAGCCATGCAAAGAGAACTGGCAGTTTCGTGTTTGGATTTAGCGTAAGCCTATGCATTCCTGTACTGCGCAGGATCAATCTGTACAACTTGCTTTGATTCTCCTGACGTATTGCTTGCTGGTAGCATTTGGGAGCGCGATTAGTTGCGCATTGTTTCATAAGGTGAAACAATCGCCAGAGCAAACCGAGGCGCCCATGACTGGCACCCCTTTTAAGGAAGCGCTAACACCGGCGCTCAACGAATGCTCAGTGCTTTCCTTTGGCCAACTGCCAGATGCCTATACATGTTTCCTGATGATGCGGCCACTTGACGCTGGTAGTGCTTTGTTCTCTGCTCTATATCACGCTATCACACTGTTACTGCAGGAACAAAGACTTTAAATGTCACACATCTGCTTGTGATATACAATCCGTGTTATGGTTCGTACTCGTCCTGAGCTGTTGGGGTAGTCCGAATTAATTTCGATAACAAACGAGGCACTGCAAAGCAAGGACAACCAATAACAGCTCCTGTGCCTCTGCGTGCCCAACTCAAGGACATTCAAGGCGCAGAGGTTCTGCGAAGTGCTTAAACGTTCTGGGCCACCCTGATGCGTGCAAGGAGCTTTAAGTAGGCTGGCCCCCCTAGGGGATCTTTTGAATGTGCGTCGTGACGACGAAACGCTGGAACCTAGAGAGCCTAAGCAGCATGCATCGGATACGTGCCTACTCCACGGGCATAAAGGTCTGGTGAAGGAAATTTACTCTGAATTCTAGCGTCTGGTTGTCCTGCGGCAGTAAATCTCTTCACGCCGAAGGTGACCCTCACCTAAGCAAGGCAGGGACTTCGGATTTACAACAGCACCGATAGAAGGCACACTATGATGACGTTGAACGTGTTACTCCTCGCAATACTCCTTAACTAAACATTAAAATGCAGATAGAAAGGAAACAAGAAATGCCCACGATATGCCGCAGCACTTGCCTGGTGCCGTATTACTCAGGATAACCGCTGAACTGTTAGAGGGATGTTGAACCGCTCATCCAAATGAAGATGTCAGAGAATGCTGCTGTAGTATCCGCACATGTTTTAAGCGTAGACGCGAGCTTCCTTTTTGAAAGCAAGCTACAAATTGAAAGTTGCCTCACAAAGCCGGTCGGCAGCAACCAATTTAGCGATTTTTTTCGAGCTCCAAAGTTATTTCTACACTGCATCCACAGCGGCAAATCGTCCTCTGCAGCAGATGCCTATCATTTCTGCTCTTCTATCCACTTGTGCCTTGCAAGTGAAGTTTTAAAGTGAATACGCGGCAAGCAACACCTGTTTCCGCCGCCCGTGCGTTTTTAATCATCACATCAGCTCCACCACAACCCTGCTTCGCTTTTGGATAGGACTGCATTTGTTGCAAATCCGGTGAAATCTCAGTCGCAGCATACGCGCGCAATAGGGCGCCACACCACTGAGCACCGCGATTCACGAAGCCAATATTTGTCTCCAGAAACTCGCTGTGAGGTTCCAGAATAAAACACGAAAGACGATTTTGCAATTCTTGAGTAGCCGACAGCTGGATTAGCATATCGTTTTCGCAGTCGTAGGAATGCGATGGTAGCGACGTCGTAAGTGTGCCGCGCGCAGCCTGATTGGTCGACACCGCAAACTGTCAAATAGTTTATGGCCAAGCAGCAAAAGAGGAGAAGTGCAGGAACTGCTTGTGGATACTACACGGATTTGGGGAATACATTAGCTGCATAGCACTACCCTATTTTAAAAAATAAGACACAAGTGCAAAGCTTGCCTGGATGTGTCGATGGGTTCAAATGGCAGCTCAGGTGGCAAAGAATCCCGTGATTCATCATTAACACCTCGATTGCTGCTTCTCGATGGACAGTTTGACATGGCTGGAGACGAGTGAGCAAGCTGGGAGTTAGACCGACGAATGCCACATATATTCGCATCAAACGCACTGTGCACTGTGAAGATTGTTACTTCGCGGTGAATGACGCGGATGTTTTTCAAGTGTACGAATGCCACGTGCTGGCTGCAACAAAGCACACTACAGCAGACCAGTCATGAAGCAGCGCAATTGTTCGGCCATAAAGGCAGCTGCGAAAGCCACGCTAGTTCTAAGTGTTGCAGTGCTAAAAGAACTTACTCGCAGCATCGAAGGTCGCTCTGCTCTTCTCTTTGAAAGGCAGTTTTGAACTCTCTTGAGCAACAAATTTGTCCAGGCAACCCGTTGCTCTCAATGTCATTTCCCACAAGAACGTCAAGACCCCAAAGGTCATACCGCAAACGCCTACTACCTATCACACCTCCAACGCATGAACCTACGTGGAGGCCGATGCGCATGTTGAGACCTGGGACTTGCATTTCTTCCCTCACCGCCTCCACATGCTCGAGCATTTGCCTCGCCATGCAGAGCACTCGGTATGCTTCGTCCGTCTCGTGGCGTTCACGCCACGCCCTGCCGTCCCCTCCGCATGGACCTTCGCATTGTGGGCGCCACGGACAGCTTGCAAATGAATCTGTGTGTCCTCGAGCAGTAGACGCTGCATGGAACGAGTCTAGAGCATCAGGATTCCTGCCTAGTGGCTCTTGCGAAGGAGTATCAATATGTAAACCAGACACCGCAACATAAGCGTCCCCAATGGTGCATAACTTGTAAAGATTCAACGATATGGTGTCCCTGTCGAAACGCGTGAAAAGGCGCTGCGGATGCACAAACAGATCATATTCTAGATTTTGAAGCATATAGCTCATTTGATGTGGCCTGCCCAACGAGAAATTCCCGACTGTGCTTTTGCCGAGGTGGGCAAGAGCAGCCAGTTATTCTCTCACCTGTAGAAGGGAAAGCACCTGCTCCGCACTGACACTCCGTGACCATGCAGTGAACCCACATATATCTGCGAACAGAAATGCCAGGGACTCGTGAGAGTAGGCGAGCCTTAGGTTGTCGTTCTGGAATTCAGCAAGCAGCTCTTTTGGGAGCATATCATTTAGCAACTCCAAGCTGCGCCGTTCCAGTGCGCTCGCCTCCTGATTCACAATGTAAGTCTGCCTGTCGTCATGCTCCTGCATTTAATAACAACGCAAAAAATGACAAACTATTACATGTTCCTCCTCCCGAGGTTGAACATGCTTCATACGGCGGTGTTTAAAATCATGTGCTTCTATGACGTACTCGAACATAGCAAGACATCAGGTTGACAATGAGCAGTAGGCAAACTATTAAGATGCCGCGAAGGCGCTCGGTTGTGGGCT